ACAGTTAATAGTAGGGCCTTGGAGAATATCGTCAAACAGGGAATCCTAGGGGTGCAGGTACATAATTCCTTGACATCACAGGCAGACAGGGTGGTGAAGGTGTTTAGCACCCTTGCCTTCACTGGTCACAGCACTGAGTACATGAGTTGGGATGTCACATGACAACTGTACAAGACAATGGTATGGCCACGTTCGGAGTACTGCATACAATTCTGGTCACTCTGCTAGGAAGGATGCTATCAAACCAGAAAGGGCGCAGAAGAGATTTACAGGATGTTACCAAGACTGAAAGGTTTGAATCATAAGGAGAGACTGGATAAAGCTGACACTTTCTTTCCCTGGGAGGGTCAGAGGCTGGGATTTTTAGAAAATCATGAGGGGCACAGACAAGGTGAATAGCCAAGATCTTTTCTCCAGGGTAGGGGAGTCCAAAACTAGAGGGCATGGGTTTATGATGAGAGGAGAAAGATTTAGAAGGGACCTGAGAGGTAACATTTTCACACAGAAGGTGGTGAGTATATGAAATGAGCTGCCACAGGACGTGGTGGAGGCAGGTACAATTACAACATTTAAGACATTTGGACAGGTACATGGATTGGAAAGATTTCGAAGGATATGGGCCAAATGCAGGCAAATAGGACTAGTTCAGTTTAGAAAAGCTGGTCAGCATGGACGAGTCTGGCCAAAGGACCTGTTCCCATGCTGTATGGCTCTATGACTGTTTGACTCTCTCTCAACAGTGCACAAACAGATTACTCGGATGTTCACCTCACTGCTATTCACAGTATCCAGAGCATAACAGTTGTTACATTTGCAAGCATAACTAGTCACCACCATTTAAAAAAATATGGCAGCATTATGATGATGCCACCATAGATTAATTTGCAACTGCACTTTCAAAATCTTAGTTCTCTAGCCTTTGGCACTCCATTCACCATAACATAGAACATAGAACATAACAGCGCAGTACAGGCCCTTCGGCCCTCGATGTTGCACCGACCTGTGAAACCTATCTGAAGCCCATCTAACCTAAACTATTCCATTATCATCCATATGTTTATCCAATGACCATTTAAATGCCCTTAAAATGGGCGAGTCTACTATTTTTGCAGGCAGGGCATTCCATGCCCTTACTACTCTCTGGGTAAAGAACCTACCTCTGACATCTGTCTTATATCTATCACCCCTCAATTTAAAGCTATGTCCCCTCGTGCTAGCCATCACCATCCGAGGAAAAAGGCTCCCACTGTCCACCCTATCTAATCCTCTGATCATCTTGTATGTCTCTATCAAGTCACCTCTTAACCTTCTTCTCTCTAACGAAAACAGCCTCAAAACCCTCAGCCTTTCCTCATAAGACCTTCCCTCCATACCAGGCAACATCCTGGTAAATCTCCTCTGCACCCTTTCCAATGCTTCCACATCCTTCCTATAATGCGGTGACCAGAACTGTACGCAACACTCCAAGTGCGGCCGCACCAGAGTTTTGTACAGCTGCAACATGACCTCATGGCCCCGAAACTCAATCCCTCTACCAATAAAACCTAACATACTGTACGCCTTCTTGACAACGTTATCAACCTGGGTGGCAACTTTCAGGGATCTATGCACATGGACACCGAGATCTTTCTGCTCATCCACACGACCAAGAATCTTACCATTAGCCCAGTACTCTGTATTCCTGTTACTCCTTCCAAAGTGAATCACCTCACACTTTTCCGCATTAAACTCCATTTGCCACCTCTCAGCCCAGCTCTGCAGCTTATCTATGTCCCTCTGTAACCTGCAACATCCTTCCGCACTATCCACAACTCCACCGACTTTGGTGTCATCCGCAAATTTACTAACCCATCCTTCTACGCCCTCATCCAGGTCATTTATAAAAATGACAAACAGCAGTGGCCCCAAAACAGATCCTTGAGGTACACCACTAGTAACTGAACTCCAGGATGAACATTTCCCATCAACCACCACCCTCTGTCTTCTTACAGCTAGCCAATTTCTGATCCAAACCGCTAAATCACCCTCAATCCCATGCCTCCGTATTTTCTGCAATAGCCTACCATGGGGAACCTTATCAAACGCTTTACTGAAATCCAAATACACCACATCAACCGCTTTACCCTCATCCACCTGTTTGGTCACCTTCTCGAAGAACTCAATAAGGTTTGTGAGACACGACCTACCCTTCACAAAACCGTGTTGACTATCCCTAATCAAATTATTCCTTTCTAGATGATTATAAATCCTATCTCTTATAATCCTTTCCAACACTTTACCCACAACCGAAGTAAGGCTCACTGGTCTATAATTACCAGGGTTGTCTCTACTCCCCTTCTTGAACAAGGGGACAACATTTGCTAGTCTCCAGTCTTCTGGCACTATTCCTGAAGACAATGACGACATAAAGATCAAAGCCAAAGGTTCTGCAATCTCCTCTCTAGCTTCCCAGAGAATCCTAGGATAAATCCCATCCGGCCCAGGGGACTTATCTATTTTCACACCTTCCAGAATTGCTAACACCTCCTCCTTATGAACCTCAATCCTGTCTAGTCTAATAGACTGTATCTCAGTATTCTCCTCGACTACATTGTCTTTTTCCTGTGTGAATACTGACGAAAAATATTCACTTAGCACCTCTCCTATCTCTTCGGACTCCACGCACAACTTCCCACTACTGTCCTTGACCGGCCCCAATCTTGCTCTAGTCATGCTTTTATTCCTGACATACCTATAGAAAGCTTTAGGGTTTTCCTTGATCCTACCTGCTAAAGACTTCTCATGTCCCCTCCTGGCTCTTCTTAGCTCTCTCTTTAGGTCCTTCCTGGCTAACTTGTAACTCTCAAGCGCCCATTTCTGTAGCTACTGATTTACTCAACATTACCTCCATATCCAAGTTTGATATATTTGTCCCCAGCAAAATTATACCTCTCTTTCACCCTGGTCCAACCGTATTCTCCATTCACATTAATCCAAAGGACGTAGATATTGTAATGGAAGATGTGAGAAATATATTATCATTTTCAGAATTTGGATTGTTTTAAAAAGAAAGGCATGTGGTTGTGGGCTTGTACTGAGAAGGATTTTCTTTTTTTAAAATATTCAGACAGTAGTTTTCAAACAGTGGTCTAAAATTGCTAGTTCCATGAAGACGTGATTGTGATCAAGGACTTGTGAGAATCCCTAGAGTGTGACTGGAATAAGATTTTTAAATTTCATGGTTTATGACAGACGACGTATTCACATTAAGCTATTGGTTTTATTTTGGCTTCAAAGTAGATAACTCAGAGTTCAGTTGAAAGGAATCAAATGTGGAAACAAAGTTTAGTCTTTCTCCTTGCAGGATTCTTCTTCATAGGTACTACCCTCTTTCTCTTAAATCTGCTGTTATCACCTCTTTTCTCAAAAAGCCAACCGATGATACATAAAGTTATAGAGATGCACAGCGTGGAAACAGATCCTTCGGTCCAATTTGTCCATGCTGACCAGATATCCTAATCCTAATTTTTACAAAGTACATTACACCTCCAACCTCCCTTTCCTGTCCCATGGCACTTTAACATCTTGCCATCTCTAAAACATTTGCCACCTTTACCAGAACTTCATGTCTGAATCTCTCTAATCAGATTTCTGAGTCTGCCACACTACCAAATCAGCTCTTATCAAAGTCACAAACGACATCTCGTCTTATTGTGACAGAAGTAAACTGCCCCTTTCATCTATTTTGAACTATCTATATCTGTAATCTAGCTGATCACACCATCCTCTTTCAAGGGAGGGGCACAGATAGGGTTGACAGAATGAGGCTTTTTTCATGGAGGGATCAATGGCTAGGGGCAGAGGATTTAGAGGGGATATGAGAAAAATTCATCGTGCAGAAGGTAGTGACAGTCTGGAATTGTCTGCCTGAAAGGGTGGTAGAGGATGGAATGCTCATAACAGTTAAGCAGTATTTAAACATTTAATAAGTATTTGTACATTTGCAATGCCAAGGGATACAAGACTATGAGCCAAATGCTGTAAAATGGGATCTGAATAGTTAGGTGCTTGTTTGTGACCAGCGCAGACTTGATAGGCTGAAGCATCTTTTTCTGTGCTGTAGATCACTATGACTCTGATTCTAACCCTTCTCTGTTATGCTGCAGCTGGAGAAGACTGTTTTCACCTAGTTCCATTCTCACCTATCTCAGCATGGTCAAAGAATCATCTTCCAATTGTGTCTCTTCTTGCTCCAGTATTGTTTCCTCTGGTGTACCCCCACGTTCAATCCTCAACGCACTTCTAGTTCTCATCTATATGCTGCCCCATTGATGACATCATCTGAAGTCAACTTGAAATTTCTGCCTCTGTGGCCTCTTGACTTGACTACTCTAACACAAGCCTGGCTGATGTTCCATATTCTAACCTCCAAATGTTTGAAGTCATCCAAAAGTCTGCTGCTTTTGTTTTAAGCCAAAGCAAGTTCCATTCGACTCATCACCCTTTTGCTCACTGATCTATATTTGCTCCCTGGTCATATTGTCAGATTATGATATTTTCATCCTTGTTTTAAAAATCTTTCCATGGTCTCTCCACCAACACCCACCACCACCCCCGCAAAACTCCAGCTCTATAATCAATAATCACGACCAACCACCCAATCCTCTGGGATATCTGCATTCCTTAGTTCTGGCCTCATCTGCATTTCCAATCATAATTGCTTCATCATTGATGGCTGTACCTTCAGTTGTCCAAGCCCCAAGCTCTTAGCTCCCTCTCTAAACCTCTCCCCTTCATTTTCTGCTGTTAAGATACAACCAACTCTTTAACCAATTTTTTGGTCATCTAACGTTACATCACGTTTGTACCTCAGTGTCATCCTTTGCTTTAACGTTTGCCCAATGCAGAACATGGAATGTTTCATTTCTTGAAAGACATTATATATGTTGGCATAATTTGGGAGAGTTGGCCAGCGGCTGATGGAAACTGGGACATACAGTTTCTGTGTGACAGTTACTTACGTCTGCTCCACCACTCTCTCATCTCCACGGTAGCAACTACGCAAGAGCCGCCCGCTGCTGGAATCGAACATGTGCTCCCTCAGGAAGCCAGCAGCCCGTAATGCACGTTGAATGTAACCCTTCTCCCCAAGAACTGCACCCACTCGAGCGAAACCAGAGATCATGAGACCTGTAGAAGGGATAATAAAGACCAATGATCCATGGTTAATCAATTAATAACAGGATGCACCAGCTCACCGGGACTGTCCTCTGTAGATTAAACGAAGATTTTATTAGGGGTATTCAAAATTAATGTATTGATTCCAGCCAGCAAGGGAGAGAGCACTTCCATTGACAGGAGAGTCAATAACCAGAGACAGCTTTTTTCTCTCTACAGCGAGTTGCTGTGTTCAGGAATGTCTGAAAGGGTGGTGGATTGAGATAAAATACTATCTTTCAAATGGAATATAGATAAATATTTAAGAAGAAAAATGTGCAGGGTTACAGGGAAAAGGACTGGCACCAAATTAAAACGTTCAGACAGCCAGTTCAAACTTGAAGGAGCGAATGGCCTCTTCCTGGATGGTAACATTTCTACGATTCTGAAGGAGAAATTGGATAAGCCTTTAAAATAAATAGGCTCAATGGACTAAAACAGCTGTTCTGTGTCGTATGATTCCATGGTTTTCCATTCATTTCTTCAGGCTCAATTCACCCCCACATAAAATCAAGGCACTGCTATGGACTTTCCCCCTCCCATGATTCAGCCAGGGCTTCTCTCTATTCAAATCTAACAACTGATGAGATCTTAACATCTTAAACATGACTACAGCAAGAATCTAAGCTCCTTGGCTTGACTTTATGATTTATTGTTGCCTATACGCACCTCCCACTGAAATCACCAACTCTAAATGGGGAAGCAGACAGAGTCAGTGACTAGGGAACAGTGATTTGAAGGGGAGGAGTGAGGGGGGTGCGGCAGTGGTTGGATTATCTCAATTTCAAACGGTAGAAATTTCTGTTCACCCAGTGCTGGATACTGGGAGAGTTGATAGTGAGGGGCTGCTGAGTATCAGCGGTGTATATGATGCTATGGTTCTAGATGTCGTCAATGATGGCTGCCACATAAATAAAACAATTCCAGGGAGACAAGGAGAGATTCTTGGGGGATTCTGTAAGTATTGGTGCAGATTGATATGAGAAGGCATTGCAAGTGCTCCTCTAGCAATAAATTAATAGACAAGGGTGGCTTCATGCAGCTGGATATTAGAAGAGAAAAGTTGGAGATGGATGGTGTTGTCAACCGTGTTAAAACAGGTGAAAAAAGTTGAGAAGGTAGGTGTACCATGGTCACAATCAGATAGTGTAATTTATGCCTTTGCAAATGTCCACTTCAGAACTGTGGGAGGGGCAGAAACCTAAGTGGAGATAGTTCAACTTGGAGTTGTACGAAAAACAACCTTGGATTTGGGAAGTGTCAACACATTCGAGACAGCATAAAAAGAATTACAGGACATAGTGAGAAAGCAGGAATGTGGGATTAATCCATGAAAATTAGGATTAATTACCCTTTCCCATGGCCAATTATTCACATGCCCTGAAATCAGCAAAATCCCTCTTAAATCCCCTCAGATAAAACACACACCGCTATTGTTCACAGACTGGCACCCACACTTAACCTAACTTCTCAAGTAACTTTGAGTTATACTGACTTGAAATGTTGTAGTTGGTTGGTTCACCGAGCTGGCTCGTTGTTTCGCAGACATTTCGTTACCATGCTGGGTAACATCATCAGTGCAGCCTCCGATGAAGCGCTGTTGTGTTTTCCCGCCTGTTATTTAAACTCTGGAGTCCGTTGAGCTGGATTACCTCATTTCATTACCTCACTGTTTAAATAACAGGCGGGAAAACACAATGGTGCTTCATTGGATGCTGCACTGATGATGTTACCGAGCAGGGTGATGAAAAGTCTGCGAAACAGCTCAACGAGCCACAACATCCACAACCCAAGCTACAAATCTACTCTAAAACCTTACTAACTTGAAATGTTAATCTTTTTGGGTCTGGTCCACTAACAACAATGTTGCTCTTTCAACTTTACAAGGTAGAGGTTGAGAATTTTAAGAAATAAGAACCTTAAAAGGAAACCTATTGTGCTCCATGTTCAAAAATTGAAAATTACCGTTCCCTGATGGTTCAATTGATAAATAGTCTGCCCCAGTAGAAACAAGACTCCCCTTTACAGTTAATTTAAATCAACCTGTTCAGGCGTGATACACCTCCAGGACAGGTAAAACTTGAACTTGGACCTTCCAGCCCAGATGTAGGGAGACTATTACTGCACCACAGACCCTAATGTCGTTCATGACCATGGAACTTCCCAAAGCATTTTACAACTCCCAAGTACTTCTGAAGTGTCACCATTTTCATAAAGTAAGAAAATAAACAGCTAATTTGCACAGGGCAAGATCCGACATACAAAGGCATCAATGTTATTATCTGGGATAATCAAGAAACCACTGGTAACAATTGCTTTTACACTGGGAAAAGGTAATCGCTGCTGGTTCCAATCATTTAACATCCGACTGGTCTGCAACCAATATCAATTCCCCAAATGGGGAAAGACAAGTAGCTGGGACCAACTGTTTTCAACTGTCCTACGTATTAGTTGATGACTGTTTCAAACATTTCAGTTAATTTTTTGGTCATGCAGGTTCAAGTATAAAGATTGACAAGCATACCAAGGAGAACTGCTCACTCTTCTTCAAAACAATGAAACAACACCTTGTCTAATCATCTGAGAGGGTACACCTGAGTGCTCCATTTCACATCATGTGAAAGATGGCACACATGTGAAGGTTAAATATGGAGGTGTCAGCCCACTGCCTCTGTGAAAGGTCAGCAGCACCAGGACTGGAAAGGGAGAAAATATCATGGGAAAGAAATTCTTCTTGTGTTAAAAAAAAAGCACTAACATTGTAGAAAAACCATCAATTTACCATTCAATTGCTGCTAATGAGCTGCACACATCCTGGCAAGTGGTGAGGATTCCATCACACTCTTGACTTATGCCTTGTAGATGGCGGACAGGCTTTGGGAAGTTAGGAAGTGAGTTACTTGTTGCAGTATTCCTAGGCTCTGACTTGCTGTTATAGCCACTGTGTTTATGTGGTGAATCCATGAGAGTTTCTGGTCAATGGTAATCCCAAGAATGTTGATAGTGGGGGATTCAGTGATGGTAACACCATTGAATGTCAAAGGGTAGTGGTTAGATAGTCTCTTGTTGGACATGGACATTGCTTGGCATTTGTGTGGCACGAATTTTACTTGCCACTTTTCAGCCCGTGTCTGCATATTGTCCAGATCTTGTTGCATCTGAACATGGTCTGCTTCAGTATCTGAGGAATCGTGAATGGTGCTGAACACTGTACAAGCATCAGCAAACATCCCCACTTCTGACTTTATGTTAGAGAGGTCATTGATGAAACAGCTGAAGATGGTTAGGCCTAGGACATTACCAAGAGGAATTCATGTATAGATGTCCTGGAACTGTGATGACTAACCTCCAACACCACAACAATCTTCCTATGTGTCAGGTATGACTCCAACCAGTGGAGAGGTTGCCCCCGATACCCATTGTTACCAGTTTTGTTAGAGCTCCTTGATGGCACACTCAGTCACATGCAGCCTTGATGCCAAGGGCTGTCACTCTCTCCTTATTTCTGGAATTCAGCTCTTTTGTCCATGTTTGAACCAAGGCTGTAATGAGGTCAGAAGCTAAGTGGCCCTAACAGAAACCAAACTTGGCATCAGACAGCACATTATTGCTGAGCGGGTGCAGCTTGATAGCACTGTTGATGACACCTTCCATCACTTTACTGATGATCAAGACTAGACTGATGGGGCAGTAATTGGATGGGTTGGATTTTATGTCCAGGATACACCAGGGAAATTTTCTACATTGTTGGGTAGATGCCAGTGTTGTAACTGTATTAAAACAGTCTAGGATTTCGTACTCACTGGTTTGTCATGATTGTGTTCTGTTAATGCTACCTTATTGGCAGATAAATCCTAAGCAGAATACAAAAGGCTGTTAAGGTAATAGACAGAAATTTGGTTTATAAAACTTCATCCCATCTACAGACAAAAGGCCAGTACACCTCAAATGAGTGTGTACACACACATCACGTACACAAAATTGGTCTTTACAAACACTGTTCTTTTCTCAGAACAGAGCTTCAGCTGTCCTGAGTGACAACTCTTTGTAATTTTCTTCAAGAAACCTGTAAACAATTCAAGATTACTACTCAAAACTGGAAATCCAAATCCCCTGGTTTTGCCCATGTGTCAGTGTGTCTTGGCAGCATCCAGACAGTTCCACACAAGGGGAATATGCTCAAACAAATTTGGCAATATTAAAGCAAACAGGACCTTTGTCAACAGTTTTTGCCCCACGGTGCAGAGTTGACATTCAAGATCATCACTTCCTCTCTCTCTCAAACTCTCTCGTTCCCAGGAACTAGTTCACAAAAATCAACATTATTTTAACAGTCTCCTTTGATGCTATCCAAGCATTTCTCATTAATGAATCTTAGTTGCTGTCTTACCTTCTACTACTGTGGTACACTGCTTCCCTTAGTTCAAGCCTTTCACTTGGGGCTTCTTTAGTCAATTAAACTATGCTCACTCATTTGGGTAATCTTAGTCCAAATCTAACTTACAACACTTTTTATTTACATGGGACAACTGAGAACATTTTGTAGTGAGGACAGGGCATTATGGATACTCAACAGCAGGCAGGTTAATTTAGGGAATAGGAGCCAAAGATGTGGAAGAAGAATTACAGTGAATCTGTTTGGAAGTAGGAAGAGACAGGATACAATGCTGAGGGATTTGTACAGTCGGGGAAGGTGAGGCAGAGCAATTTAGGCACAGATGAGATGAGACAAAAGAGTCTCAGATGAGCGAAGGTGAGAAGAAAGCATCAGAGTGCATGGCAGCAGAGAAAATGACGTGGTACAGTAAACAGGATTGGAGAATGAGGAATAAATCAATATTAAAATGGAGATGCTTGAAAGCAAAGACACAGGCTGAACAGATAGCAACTGAAGATTTGAAAACTAAAGGATTTGCCTAAGGAAGATGTTAGGGAGCAAAATAAATACAGCAAAAGGTAAAACACAAAATGCT